CCTGAGTTGGCCTGAGCCTTCACAATTGCCAGTGGAAGGGTCCACGGAAAGCCAGGCCTCTCGTGACCTCCTGGCCCTTCATTCAACCAGAGAGCAACCGGCTTTAACAACCACACAGCAAAGCCTCGTGGCTCAGTTGAACGTTCCAGCCCATGAGTTGCGAGTTCTGCTAATCCGGGTCACAAAGGCAGACGTGCTGCAGCTCCTGGATGCTTTGTGCTCACTGCGGGAGCTCAGTCCGTCAGCTGAGCGGCCCTGGCACGTCCCGGCCACGCGCTGTGGCCCCGATGGATATTTAGCAGACTGCTGCCGGCCCCTGGCCTCCAGAGCCGACTCCGGCCGCCAGCGGGGGACATGGCCCGGCGCAGCTACGTGTTCCAGGCCCGCCGGGAGCTGTTCGAGTGCGAGCGCACAGAGGCGGAGGCGCCCGCAGAGCTGGACCTGGGCGCGCTGCAGGGCCTCGGGGCGCGCGTAGCCGGCCACGTCCAGCGGGCTCGCGCGCTCCAGCAGCGGCACGCCGTCCTCCGGCGGCAGCTGGACGCCCTCCGGCACCTGGGGGAGCAGGCCAGCCCCGAGGACTCGCTGGCCCGACACGTGGAGGACAACCTTCAGCGTGTCCGGGACCTGGAGACGGGGCGCGCGCGGCTGGAGCGCGAAGCGGCCGAGGCGCAGCGAGCGCTGGACGAGTTCCAGAGCAAGTAAGTGACCTGGGTAGGGAGGACACTGGGGCTCGGGAGGCCCCCAGCACCCGGGCCCGCAAGCAGGCTACTGTCCAAGATTCAAAGGCCGTTTCTAGTCCACCCGGAGACCGAGTCCTGCTCTTTGCAGAGGATACCACGTAGTGCCTGTCCCCAAGTGTAAGGCCAACTTGCTCAAGGTACTTCAGTTTGCAAGAGGTAGTATTTGTTTTTGAATGTTTCAGTGGAGGCACACTTGACAATAAAAAACAACGCCTACAATAAAAACAACGCACAGATGAGTTTTGTTTATTTTGGGGATCACGGGAAGCATTGCTGTTCATTGGGTAGGTGGGGAGCGCTGCCCTAGGTCACTTCCCACAGTGCTCCTTGCACCATGCCAGGCTGATGGGCCCACGCCTTCCAAGCAATGCCTGTGCGCTAACTCTTGGAGCTTTCTCCCAGATCCCTGAAATGCACAGATTTTAGATGGATAGACCAATAAATCTTCACAAATGTGTGTATCTGTATTCATTATTCCCTACTGCTTTTTCCCAGTCACCTGCGACTGCACTCCCAAACCCAAAGCGCCCAGTATCCTCATTTCACATGCCACAGTTTAATTTGACCTGTTCTAGGTTTTGCAGAGAGGGAACCCTACAGCTGTTCTCCTAGGACTGGCACTTTTGCTCAGAGCAGTGTTTGGGTTTTTTTTTTTTTGACGTGTACACTCCCAGTGAAGCTCAAGAGCCACTCCTATCTCTGCTTTCAGGAGGGCTCAGGGGACCACATGGGAAGCTGGGATTCAACCCAGGTCTGCAACATGCAAGATAAGTGCTCTACCAGTTGTCTTATTTCTCTGGCCCTTCATCCCAGTGTTTTTACCTGTTTGGATGTCAGGTCATCCTTACTGCCTCATCATGCAAACATGCAGATGAATTTGAGCTCTTGATGTAGGGCATAGAGGCTAGGAACATGTGTGTCTTATAACATGGTTCTTCAACTAGTGAAGAGCTGCTCTGAGTTGGATATTTAAATCCAAGAAAACTAGGCTGGAAGGGGAAGAAAACGGTCAGGAAGTTTTGCTCTGGGTCTTACTCCTCAAAGTGCAGTCAGGGGGCAGCAGCAATAGAATGAACTGGAATTTTTTAACCATAAAGACTCTGGAACTCCCTGCAGAACCCCTAGACTAGCCTCAGCATTTTGTTTCATGTGTGGTGTCTCGGCCACCCCTGATGGGGTTTAGGGCTTATTCCTGTGCTCAGGGATCACTCCTGGTAGTTCTCAGAGGACGGTATGGGGTGCCAGAGAATGAACTGGTGTTGGCTGACTACAGGACAAGTGCATGGCCCCCTGTGCTCTCTCTCAGCCCTAGACACTGCATTTTAATATGTAATTCATAGTTCAAGATGTTAACACAATTTTAAGGAGTTGAAGTCATGGGAAGTCCTGTTCAGGTTACATGCTCCCTTTTGACAGACTGAACTCCATGTTAGAATCACCTGAAAAGTTGCTACAAAGATGCTTAGTAATTCATTAGTATCATTCAGGTTTTAAATGTGCACACTTTTTGAGTCAGTAGGACTATTTAAAAAATTTATTGTATGATACTCCAGTAGGTGTAGAATTGTATCCCTACAAGGATATCCCACACCAAATGGTGTTCTGATAACCAATACCAAATCTTGGAATGCAGCTAAATCCAGGCTATCTATGGGTGCCATCAGGATACTTTAGAGGAATGGTCTTCAACCACCAGGCCACTGACCAGCGCTGATCAATAGGGACAGAAAGGTTGAAAGCCAGAGGTATGCTACAATGGTTTAAACTACTGATCTATGAACCTATATGCTGACAGATATTGGTCTTCGTGTGTCAAATGGTTGAAGACAAAAGCCTAGAGCCCTAAATGGTCTTTACCTGGTCACTAGACAATAGTTTGCTATCATTTTATTGGGCAAGTGTGACTCCCATGACTACCTCGTGAAGGAATGTCTATGTTTAATTTGTCTTATCTTTTCCTGGGGGCTGGAGCGATAGCACAGCGGGTAGGGCATCTGCCTTGCACGCAGCCAACATGGCCAACCCGAGTTCGATTCCTCCGCCCCTCTTGGAGAGCCTGGCAAGCTACCGAGAGTATTCGATATGCCAGACACAGTAACAACAAAGTCTCTAATGGAGACGTTACTGGGCCTGCTCGAGCAAATCGATGATCAACGGGAGGGCCTTTACTTTTTTTTACTTTACTTTCCTGATTTCACTATTTTTGAGCTATATGGTCCTCATAGAGTAATTACTTCAGACTTTGCATTTGATTGAGTAAACTTCATTAATTTATTCCTGTCCAGTGCTCCTTGGGGAAACTTTTATAGTATGGGACAGTTGATTTGAAGCATCATAAAAATCATACACATCCACATGCCTGAGGTCACAGACATCATATTGAAGTTCCAATGGTGAATTGATGAGTGTAGAAATGGGAAGGTATAGGCAGTCATTTTAGGCATGTTCTCTACTTAGATAGTTGAACAATTTCAAAACTAGACCTTCAGTATGTGAAACAAAGGCCAGATTAAACAAGAAAAAAATGAAAACAAATAAGACAACCAAATGGTGGACAGTTAATTATCCATATTGCTGGAAAGAAAAATTAATTACATGATATGAACTGATAATTGAAGCCAATTATCTGATTTCTGAATGGTTTTACTAACGTGAATATATTTGAATATATCAGGAATTCTTAATAATGAAGTCACTTGTCTTTAATATAATATTGATACCTGTATACAACATGATCTTAATGATCTTAATCTGTTGTTGACCAAAGATATTCTAAACTAAGAAATTCTTAGATGCTTCCTGCAGTAAAGATCAAGGTGAATATTAGACTTTGCTTACAATATTATTCTCAAAGTGAATTAACCATTTAAAATTCATTTCAGGGGGCTGGAGAGATAGCACAGTGGGTAGGCACTTGCCCACCATGTGGCTGATTGGGGTTAAACCTCTAGTACCCCATATGGTTCCCTGAGACAACCAGGATTTATGTGTGAGCTTAGAGCCCAGAATACCTGAGCACTGCCAGTTATTGCCTCCCCAAATAAAACAAAAAAATAATTTCTTGCTCTGTTGCATTCACACACACAAAAGAAAGTACTTGTGAAGGCCAGGAATGTGGCTCAGTAGTAAAATATACCTTGTATGTATGTGATCTATATTTGATTAACATGCCCCCCAAAAAAACTCACTCCACCCAAAACCCCTCGGCCCCCTACAAAATGTGATATCCTGATGTGATAAAACTTGTGCAAATATATTTTGTTACTGATTGTGACTGGACTTTCTAGATGTCTTTAGAATAAAAATATGCACATAATGCGCTTGTTAGTCACTGTTTTTCCCTGAAGGCAGGACTTTTAATTCTGAGAACACAGCAGCACAGTTTTCCAGCACCTCAGCTTATTGTGCTCGACTTGAACCCATGGCATGAGTATGCCATGGATTAGGCATATTGTTAATTAGGACAGACTCCAAAGTGACACTGGTTATACAGCATGGAAGTTTGTTTCTGCTTTGTGTAAGGTATGGAGAGCAATTTCAAAGAACATTCAGCAGTGTCTGAGGCCTGGAAGGCTTTTTAGGATCTTTAAGAAGGCAGTGTTGGTGTTTTGGGTTCAAGATGAAGGCGAAGTTCTTTGAGCATCCGAAACTTTGGGTCAGTTTCTCCGCTTTGTTTTTTTCTCGGGGGTTAGAGAGGGGTGGGGGTGGGGGAATAACCAGTGATATCTTCCAGGGTTTTGTGGGGATTAAGTAGTGGAATTCAGAAAACTGGACATATATCCTACCTGCCAGCTACTTACTACTTACTTACTGACTACAATTTACAGAGTAGTGTTAGAAATCACAGCAAGGACAAGTTTGTGGTGGTATAGATATTCCAGCTATCTTCAGTCTTTATGCTACACTTAGGGGACAGGTAGTTTGAGGTCCAACTTCCTCATCATGTCTCTTGGTGACCGGTAGGGGCTGCTGGGGGATAGTAGCAAGAAGAATCATATTCCATTTACCGCTCCCAGGTACCCTGTGAATGTTACCACTTCCAGTGCAAACCAATGTGAAAAAAGGTTGAGAAGCAGTGATCTTAAAAATGGAACACTAGCTAACACTTTTACAATTAGAACTCCTACTTACAGGAAAGGCATAAGACATGTCTCAGGTGAAATGCAGTGATGAGTGTGTGCTCACTGTGTGCACAATCATGACAGCTGCCCAATTCTCCTCTGTTCAATTTGCAGATATGAAAATGAATGTGAATGTCAACTTCTGCTAAAAGACATGCTGGAGCAGCTTACTAAGGTGAGCGGAGAACTTCCTGTGTCTGAGAAAATGAAAGACAGGATTGAGCTTTAGGGCTGGAGCGGTTGTTCCCCACACCATCACTTTGTGTTGCCTCAGGCAAGATTCATCTATTTCTTTTGCTTTCTCTCTCTTTCTTGACCTTGTAACTTCAACTGAATTTCTATTGAATGAATTTACTCAATATATACTCTTCAACATGAGATATAGGTTTTTCTGAGAGAATCATATATTATACAGCTAATTGCCTAAACTGGTTATTCAAATATGCCTATATTACAACGACCAGCTGTTGCTTTGTCATTTAGACATACATACTGATCCCAAACACCAAATTTAGAGGGAAACTTATCTTGGACAGTGACTATTTGAGTGCAGAAATATCTTTATCCTGTTGGCTAAGAGTTTTAGGCTTATTCTTCCAGGAAAACTCACAAGGGAGCAGAGAGCCAAACTTCTATTTCTCTTCAATCTCCAGGGATTTTGTTTTGATTTGTTTTGGGGACAAACCTGGTGTAAACTTAGGGCTTACTACCCCTCAAATTCCCCAAAGTGAGTAGGTGCCAACAAACTTGCTGATCAGTCAGGAGAATTCATTAAAAGTGCTTTCCTCTGTTTGCACCAGAATTCAGAAATGTGTCAACACTTGGGTTTCTATTATGTTTCAGATACTGTAAGCTTTTTTTTCTAAAGCTCCACCAGCAGAAGCATCTAGATGTTTTGGGGGGAGGTTGTTTGGTTTTGGGGACACACTCAGCTGTACTCAAAGCTTACTTCTGGTTCAGTGGTGAGGGATCACTCTTCACACTGCCTGGGGTACTGTGTGCAGTGTTGAGGATCAAAGTCTCACTGGTCGCATTTCAAGGTCCCACAGTTGACTTCCTAGTGGAAAATACAACATGTGAATGGATTTGCCATGGCTAATTTTTCAGGGCATATTGGACTCTAGTCCTCTAGCTTTTTCCTCATATATGGTCCAGTCTGTGATTCTGAAGATCAGTGTGCAGCAGTATCTCCTGAAGGACCTGCTCAGTCTGGGGTCCTGGCCCCCAAATTCTGGTCCAAAGTATAGAATATGGCAGATATTTTTAACTTTGAATCATTTCCCAGGCAATATGGTACTACAGCCACACTTTGAGATTCACTGACCTAGAGCTGAAGCAGATACACTATCAGAGCTGAAATGTTTTTCTAAAGTTACACTATTGACCCAAAGCCTTAGTTTGGAAACATCTAGATGCTTCTGCTGGTGGAGCTTTAGAAAAAAGCAGCTGACAATATCTGAAACATAATAGAAATCCCAGTGTTGACACATTTCTGAATTCTGGTGCAAACAGAGGAAAGCACTTTTTAATGAACTCTCCGGATTGATCAGCAAGTATGCATTTAGTGGCTCCTAGTCACTTTGGGGAATTTGGGGGATAGTTTAGTAGATAATTAATTGTCTCCCAAACATGGGAATTTGCTTGTAGAAACGTATGGTTAAATTCTATTTTTAAGGGGTGTTATTGACTGACCTTTAATTATCACCCTGAGCATATTTATTTATTTATTTAATTCTGGGGCTACACTTAACTGTATTCAGGACTTTCTCCTGCCTCTGTGCTCAGGAATCATTCCTGGAGCTCCTTAGGGAACCATGAGTATTGTTGCAAAATGAATTGGGGTTGACTTTGTGCAAAGCAAGTACCTTAACCTCTGTACTATTTCTTCAGCCCCATGAGAGTTTTAAATGCTGGCATGATGGGATGCAAGAGTGGTGGTATTAGCATGATTCTAGAGGAAGGGATGGGAAGAAAGCCAGGCACCTTATAGAAAGGAATCTGAGCCCAGTACTCAACTCTTGACTAGTAGAGAGAAACCCAATCTGGATTCCAATTCCTATGTCTTTGGCTAACTTCCACTAAGTCATTTCATGACCCATTGGTTCAATCAGGCCAAAGACGTCCTGTCTGTAAAGAGGAGCTCATTTCTAAACTGCCTTTCCCAGAACTCTGAAGTTCCATGGAGTTGCTTGAAGCCTCTTGAAGAGAGATTTGCTACCTGGATGCAGGAGTCCTCAACACCTTCTGTCTCTGCATTGACTCTATGTTAATTTCCATGAGATAATTTGTCTGGAGGATGATACTTATGACTTAAAAATTGAACACCAGGATCAGGGATGTGGCTTAGTGGTGGAGCACTTACTTTTTATCTGTGAGACCCTGGTTACAGTGTCCTCCAAAAAATTCATGAAAGTGTTTGATGACCAATGATTCTTACGTTATCCTTTATAAAGTTATGAGTATTTGATTCCTTTAATAGCACAAGGGATACTTTAAGCTCTGTCCTCAGTTATAAACTCTGATAATTATGAGTGGATTATCTGTCACTGTCACTGTCCTCCTGTTGTTCATTGATTTGCTCAAGCGGGCCCAGTAACATCTCCATTGTGAGACTTTGTTGTTACTGTGTTTGGCATATTGAATATGTCATGGGTAGCTTGCCAGGCTTTGGCGTGTGGGTAAGATACTCTTGGAAGCTTGCCAGGCTCTCTGAGAGGGGCGGAGGAATCGAACTCGGGTCAGCCATGTTGGCTGCGTGCAAGGCAAATGCCCTACCCACTGTGCTATTGCTCCAGCCCGTGGATGAATCATAGATAACTTTTTTGTTATGTTGGTTTGATATAACTAGGGAAGCATTTATATTTATTTAATGATTTGTGTCTATAGCCACACATGTATTTTATTAGCATCAGAGAATAAGGGAGTTTAAAGGATCAGGTAAGGAAGTGGTATGATTGAGTCATTTGTTACAAGATCTTTTGACTCTTTTGTTTTCTTTTTGTGCCACCCTTGGTGCTACTCAGGGCTCTGTTCAGGGCTTACTCCTTGAAGGGTTCAGAAGACTGTGTGTGCTAATGGGATAGAACCAGCATTGGCCGGCTGTGTGCAAGGCAAATGTACCCATGGTACAATCTTCAGTTATTAAATGGGTTCATAGCTTCACCTGTCTGCTCATGACAAGAGAGCTTACTCTTGTCCACATGGACAGAAGGCTGCGGTGTGGAGTAGTTTTTCATGAATAGCAAATAATATCTATTGTTTTGTAGGCAAGGGATTAATTTTTACCTAGAGGATTTAACATGAGACAAGGTGGAGTCTGAGGTCCCAAAGTCAAGGTGTTTGAGAATTCTCTACCTAATCCTATCCTCAGTAGTCTTTAAAGAGGCTGGTGAAAGTATAGGGTAGAAAAATATCCAGGACTGGCTCCAGGTCTTCACCCAACACTCTCTGCCCTCTCTTCCAGATTTAGTTATGTTCCTGAAAAGGATGTCTAATCTCTGGGGTTGAGAAACATTTCCTCAAAAACCACTGCACCTGGATGGAGTCTGGGCTTCACCCCACATCTCTAATTTATCTCCCCCTCAGCAGAGCTCTGGTGGGACTGTCAGTTAAGATGATTGTCATGACACCCATATTGGCCCATCTCAGCTATCCCCTGAGAATGTGACTCTTGAGAGGAAGATAAAAATTTATTTGTGGGTGGTCATTATGAAGGTGGTGTTAATCATCCCTGCTGTTAAGATTCCTGCAACTTTTTGGGTTTATATCCTTGCTTAAGGCCTGATTGCTTCCTTTTAGGATTCTAGAAATTACTTAGGTATTTCTGAGTTCTTAGAGTATTTCCATAGTTCATCCAGTCTTTCTTCTCAGAACCACTTCTCTCAGGAAGCACTTATGCAGGTTGATGTGAAAGTACTGAGTAATTCAGAAAGCTAAATTCCAGGCCTCCAAGGGGCCTGTTCACCTTTGAAGAATTACCACCCTGCCCCCACCTTCACCCCCCACCCAAAAGTGTAGCCCATGAGCTCCTGTCTTCCAGGGAAGGGCAATGTGGGTAAGTGTTTTTAATTTATTTTTTAATTTTTCTATTGAATTACTGTGAGATACAGTTACAAAGCTTTCATAATTGAGTTTCACTCATACAAGGATAGAACACCCATCCCTCCACCAGTGTACATTTTGCACCATCAATGTCCCCAATATCCCTCCTGCCATCACCACCCCATCCCACCTCCTGCCTCTGTAGCAGGCATCTTCTATCTTCTTTCTTACTTTATCTATACTTTGGACATCGTGGTTTGCAATACAGATACTTAGAGGTCATCATGTTTGGTCCTTAGTCTACTTTCAGCACATCTCCCATCCTAAGCGATCTCTCCAACCATCATTGACTTAGTAGTCCCTTCTCCATCCCAACTGCTTTTCCCTCCAGCTCATTAGGCAGGCTTCCAAACTGTGGAGTTATTCTCCTATCTTTGTCTTTACTGTGGTTGGGTGTTAGTCTCACATTGTGCTATTTTATATTTCTCAAGTGAATGGAGTCATTCTATGTCTGTACCTCTCTTTCTGACTCATTTCAGTTAGCTTGATATTCTCCATGTCTTCCCATTTATAAGCAAATTTCATAACTTCATCTTACTTAACAGCTGTATAGTATTCCACTGTGTAGATGTACAATAGTTTCTTTAACCAGTCATCTATTCTTGGAGTGTGAGCATATTTTGAAAGAAATAATAATGTGTTTTGATTGAGTTTAGACTAAACTATTCCAGTGACACAGGATTTGAGGACCCATCACAAAGCCCCCAGAATGGTAAAATCCTAAAGACAGAACCTATCAAAAGTACTAACTCATTAAAATTCAACAGAATAAATGAAGAAACTAATCACTTATGGTGAGGATTCAATATTAATATTGTTCAGATAAGTTAGAGCCCTGTTATTGGAAACACGGAAGCCCCCTTTGTAATTTGGTTCATGTTTTAACTTCTGTTTTTTAACTTTCCATTCTGTTTGTCTTAAACCACCAATCTCAGACTGTATATGTGGATTTCTTAAGGCAACAAGTTTTGGAGAGCAGAGACCCATTTCCAGGGCTGAGAAGTGAGTGCATCATTGGAGAAAATAGCAAGAGATCTGGGGGCTATCAGTGAAAGAATTCTTTCCTATTTCTTTCTGAGAATTCCCTGGTGGCCCAGTGTAAGGAACCCGGGAAGGGAGTTTCAGAGAAAAGGAAGGAAGTGGTAACTGGAAATGACAGGACAGAGAGACGAGCTGAAATCTGGAGCAGACACTGAGAAAAAGAGAAGCTCTAGGGCCAGAGCTATAATGCACTGTGTAGCCTTGCACATGGCTGATCTGGTCTTGGTCCCTAGCATCCCGTATGGTATCCTGAACACCACTGGGAGTAATTCCTGAGAATAGAATCAGAAGTAAGCCCGAGCTTAGTCACTGGATGTTGCTCCAAACAAAAACAAAAACAAAACTAACAAAAAAACCCCAAACAAACAAAAGGAGAATCTCTGTAGAACCTGCAGTTAATTCTATAGAGCTGCAATGTTCCCCAGCTACATGAAGTTGAGCAGTAGGATGTGACATTTTACAAGTGTAACATGCATACCAGATTTTAAGGCTTAGTCTGAAAACAAAATTAGATACAATATCACTGTTCTTCCATTGTTCATTGATTTGCTTGAGCGGGCCCAGTAATGTTGATATAATTAATAAATTTTGAGATATTAATTACTTGATGAACTGATAATATTTTGGATTTTATGGACTGAAATAAAAATAGTATTAAAATTAATTTTCGGACTATAAGATAAACCAAAGGGCTTGAATACATATGTGGTATGTGGAGGTCCTAGGTTTGATCCTGAATACCACACAGTTCCCTGAGCCTTGCCTGCAGAGCCCCAGCATCACAGGGCCTGAGCATTAAACTCTTCATCCTGAGACCTGCAAGTCACCTCCAGGTCTCCAGAGCAACATGCTTTGAAGGCTTCTCCCAAATTAATTTCCCCTATTAAATTTGTTTTTTGAGGGCTACACCTGGTGGTACTCAGGACTTACTCCTGGCTCTGTGTTCAGAGGACCATGTGTGGCCCTGGGGAATTGAACCTGGCTTGTCCACATGCAAGGCAAATGCCCTGCCCACTATCCTGTGTGAGAAAAATGCATTAAGAAAAATTCCTGGGGCTGGAGAGATAGCACAGCAGGTAGGGCGTTTGCCTTGCACACAGTCGACCTGGGTCCAATTCCCAGCATTCCATATGATCCCTTGAGCACTGCCAGGAGTAACTACTGAGTACAGAACCAGGAGTAATCCCTGTGTATCGCCAAGTGTGACCCAAAAAGCAAAAAAAAAAAAAAAGATAGATTCCTAATGGTTTACTAATTATCAGTTTGGCCTTGCACATACCTCTTCAGTTTCTGAGGATAAACCCTTTAAGTTTTTAAGTTTTTTCTGTAGGGTAAATGGCTTTAGAAGCTTGAATTGGGTGAAAGTTAGTTACTTCCTGAACATTTGCTGCAGTTTTAGATCAAATTAATTATTTTGTTTTATTTATAAAATAGGCATGCTCTCTAGACCTCATGGAAGTCCTAAGTCTATGATATTTTAGGTGCTAAGTCAGCACTTTTCATAAAAAGCTTGCTCAAGGCAGGTGAGACAATGGAGTCAGCATCAGTCTTTTCTTCCTACACCAGTGACCTTTTAAAGGAGCATTACAAAGTCAAGTGCTTTTCCTAAGAGTGATGACCAAGGTTTCCCTGGATCTATTAGTGCAAGGAGAGTATCTCAAAATATCTTGGCCAGCTGTCATACATCTATGGTCTTACTTCTGTTCATAAAGTGGGGACAGTCTCTTAAGTGATTTTTCTATTTGTTTCTTTGGACAACACCCAACGGTCCTTGGCGACCACTCCCAACTCTGCGCTTAGAGGAACTATGTGGGTTGGTGCTGGGTAGTAACATGCTTCTAAACCCATTGCCGGTTGCCTCTCTCTCCAGCCCTTACATATATATATATATATGTATGTATATATAAACATATATTCATATACATATACATATATACATATATACATATACATGCATATGTATATATACATGCATATGTATATATATAAACACAAACACACTGTCCTCCCATTGTTCATTGATTTGCTCAAGTGGGCCCAGTAATGTCTCCATTCTGAGACTTGTTTACTGTGTTTGGAATATTGAATACGTTACAGGTAGCTTGCCAGGCTTTGGCGTGCAGGTGAGATATTCTCGGTAGTTTTCCGGGCTCTCGATTGGGCTGGCTGTGCACAAGGCAAACACTATGTGTGTGTGTGTATATATATATATATATATATATATATATATATGAACAATACCACAGAGGGTAGGGCATTTGGCTTGAATGCAGCCGACCCAGGTTCGATTCCTCTGCCCCTCTCGAAGAGCCTGGCAAGCTACCGAGAGTATCCCACCCGCACAGCAGATCCTGGTAAGCTCCCTGTGGCGTATTCAATATGCCAAAAACAGTAACAACAAGTCTCACAATGGAGATGTTACTGGTGCCCGCTTGAGCAAATCGATGAACAACTAAACAATGGGAGGACAGTGCTACAGTGCTCTCTCTCTCTCTCTCTCTCTCTATATATATATATATATATATATATATATATATATATATAGCCACACACAAAAAGAAAATCTTCTCCTAACCCACCTGCCAAAGACTCAAAATGCTGCAGTGGAGAAGGCAACCAAAATATCTCCAGAAGAGCTTGTTCCAAGGGAAACAACCTTGACTCATATGCCATCGTTAAGTTACTTTTGATAACTGAGTTAGCCATGAAGAAGACAGAAGACAATAGCACACCTGTGCTCTTGGTGGATGTCAAGGCCACTCAGCACCAGAATAAATAGGCTGTGAAGAAGCTCTACAGCATTGGCGTGGGCATAGTCACCCATTGCTCAGGCCAGATGGAAAGAAGAAAGCCTATGTTCTGGGAGCTCCAACTAGAGTTCCTTGAATATTGCCAACAGAATTGGTAAAGGTAAAGGTAAAGGCCCTCCCGTTGATCGTCGATTTGCTCGAGCGGGCCCAGTAACGTCTCCATTGGAGACTTTGTTGTTACTGTGTCCGGCATATCGAATACTCTTGGTAGCTTGCCGGGCTCTCCGAGAGGGGCGGAGGAATCGAACTCGGGTCAGCCATGTTGGCCGCTTGTAAGGCGAACGCCCTACCCGCTGTGCTATCGCTCCAGCCCAAAAAAAAGGTAAAGGCCCTCCCGTTGATCGTCGATTTGCTCGAGCGGGCCCAGTAACGTCTCCATCGGAGACTTTATTGTTACTGTGTCTGGCATATCAAATACTCTCGGTAGCTTGCCGGGCTCTCCGAGAGGGGCAGAGGAATCGAACTCGGGTCGGCCATGTTGGCCGCTTGTAAGGTGAACGCCCTACCCGCTGTGCTATCGCTCCAGCCCAACAGAATTGGGATAATCTAAATAGTCCAGCTGGGAAATTCAAACTCCCCCTATTTTCACCATAACATAACAAAACAAAACTGATATTAACAAGTAGGTGATGAGGAAAAGGATGAGGCCAACTATAAATGACATTAAAGAGAGTGATAGAGGGTCTTTGGCATTTTGGTGGTAATGAGGGTACAGTAACTTTATATACTCAAATCATTAACATTAACACTATTGTGGTATGTTACCTAAACTAACAATAAAAACACAAAACAAACACATAAAAAACCCAAACAAAATCAGTGAAATTACAGTTGGTGAGTTATTATAAAATTTGGTGAGGATAATCAGGCTTCTGTCATAAATGTCATTTCCAGTTTTAAAGAAACAAATGGTATCACCACAACAGCAGTTCAAAGAGTTGGAATTTGTGTGAGAGAAAAGCTATATCAGTGGTCCTTGGGAGAAGATATTTCGAGGGATAATTTGGGAAAACTTTGTCTTAGTCTTAGAAACTGAACTGACTGATGATTATAGGGAATAAATAGAGTTAAAAATTAAGTTGTTTGATATGTAAATATACTTTTTACCTGGTATTAGAGGTCAAGGTTTCTCAATCCTGATGTGATTGACATCTTGGACAAGAAAATTATTTGTTGCGATTATTGTTCTGTATATTACAGAATGGATATTTAACTATTTCCCTGGCCGTTGTCCACCTCATGGTAGTTGTAGCATTCTAGCACCAAGGTGGCAATGATCAAAATCTTCCGTGTCCCTCTTCCTTTGAGAAGTCCAATGAACCGAGCCAATGCCTCTCTAGAGCTGAACATTCTTAGATGCTTCTTGAGACCTATTGAACAAGAACCTGAATTGTAATAAATCCCCAAGGGTCTGATTCTCCCACACATGGCCTATTTAATACTCATGCTAATACTTCCACACTACTTGTCATTCTCACTGTAGGAAGCTGATGAAAGTTTACTACGGAACCTGCGCCTTCAGATCGAAGTCCAGTTTCTGCAGGATGACATCAGTGCAGCAAAGGACAGGTTCAAAAAGGTAACCACAGTCCTTCTGAAGCCTTTCTTGCAGAAGACCAAGTTGAGGTCTGGTTCAACTGTTCCAAGGCATTTGTATCTGAGGAGTGCAAATGGTTTACCTTTTGTGTACCCTGGTACCAAGGGGGTGATGGGTTGGTTGCTCGATCCACTTGGTGAGCCTGGTGTGTGTAGAGAAGGAGGTTAGTGTGTGTTGGCATATCATTTTTTGTCTCCTTCTCTTCCTCTTTTCCTCCTCTTCCTCCTCCTCCTCCTCCTCCTCCTCCTCCTCCTCCTCCTCCTCCTCCTCCTCCTCCTCTTTATTCTCCTTTTTCTTCTGATCATCTTCTCTTCCTCTTTCTACTTCTCTTCTTCCCCTTATTCCTCCTCCTCTCATTCTTCTTTTTTTCCTTTTTTCTTCTTCAATTGTTCTTTATTCCTTCTTTCATTTTCCCTTTCTCCTCCTGCTCCATTGTTCCCCCTCTCCCACCCCCTGTGTCTGTAGTATATTATAGTTCACAAAATGATGTTACATAGATCTGGATTAAACCAACTGTTTAGGCAAGTAAAGGTTTGTTTTGTTGTTGCTTTCAACTATGCTTCTGGTTCTTTTTTTCATGCAGTGCTCTATTTTACCCCTAAAGTGTGAAGAACACACTTTTCACATGTCTGATTTAGTTGGTGACTTTGGTGGATTTCCAAATTAAATCCTTAAATTGGGTAACAATGAGTAAATGACTATTTCTCTCTGAGCTTCTTCATCTTCAATATACACATACCAGATGCTTCTTTTTGAACATATATGTGGGTAACATCTATGTAGATAACTAGTGTAGGGGACCCTGAGTTGCCCTTGTCAATTAGAATTGTTGAAGCTTCTCCCTCATGCTTAGAACTATCTTCTGGGAGTGGAATACTGCTTTCCATAATGAAGAAGTGCTAAGAAATTAATTTTCTCAGAGCATCCTTAACCAGTAAGTTAGTGGATAACACTTCAGCTTCTCTCCTTTTGTCTTGTGTACTGGCTCCCAAGGACGCCTGAGTCCAAGTGCCCAGGTAGTAGCTTGTCTGTTAACACAGCCCTTCTCTGCTGCTTTCCCTCTCTCACCTCCCACGTCACTGCATATGCTTCCTAGAATGTTTGGCCAAGTGAACTATTTGCATTAAAATCCTGCTTTTAGGGTTTGTGTCTTAGTTATTTTTTTAAAGTTTTTAAATTGAATCACAGTGAGATAGATTCTTACAGAGCTGTTCATGATTGGATTTCAGTCATTGTGTTTTAGTTCTTTTGGGCCTTTTCCCCACTTCATCCCCACCCAGGCCAACAAATGAACCCCTGGACGGGAGTACAAAAAAAACTTTCACAAAGCACCATAGAAATGGTTTCTCTGTCACAGAAATTTCCCTCAGTCTGGAGGCTGGAACATGGGACTAAAGGGTCCAGCACAGTGGGGTTCTGGTGAGGACTTTTTTCCTGCCTTCACTGTGGGCCCCATCAGGCCTTTCCTGGGAGTTTATAGATGGAGGGTTGCAAGGAGAGGTCAGGTTCTTTGATGTCTCTTCTTATATGGGCCATCATTCCATCACAATGTCCTCACAGGCATAATCTAACTCAAATACAATTAGTCCCCAAAGGTCTACCTTCATATCCCATGTCATTAAAAGGCAAGATTTTAACATGTCGAGTCTGTAGGGACATAATACTTGATCACTTGACATTTTGTTACTCATTGATTTGCTTGAGCGGGCACCAGTAATGTCTCCATTCATCCCTGTCGTGTGCTAGTGTGGCCTAATGGCGTCTGCTTGCTCCAGGATCACAAAGAGTCTCAAACTAATCATTCAGGGTTTTGACAAAGAAGTCTGACCATCTTGTAGATGGGCTTCCATGCGTTCTTTTGATGTCCTGTGGAATCCAGTTGGTAACGGCTCTAGTCCAGCAGTCATCTTCAAATCACCATTTGAGAGACACAATATTTAATCTATAATAGTCTGTTTTGGGAGAAACCTGAACTGATGCAACATACATTAAGAACCTGGTACCATTTGAGCTGGGGTTGTGGGGTGTTCAGTAAACCTCAAATTCTTTCCTCCCTCTCTGGGTGCCTGCTTTTGGAATAAGGCCAGTGTGTTATTCTGTACTAAGGGATGTCCCTCTGAGTCAGGGGCATGAGTCACCAGACAAGATTTGTCCCACTTGAGGCAAGAAGGCAGTTTTTTTTGTACTCCTGTCCAGGGGTTCATTCATTGGCCTGGGTGGGGATGAAGTGGGAAAAGATGGAGTTGTGTAATGTCCTGAGCAAGAGGACTATTGTCTGGCTGAGAGCCAGATGCCACAGCTCTGCCACCTTATCAGCTTTCATGCTAAGCCCCGTACCAGTGCTTTGCTGAACAAGGGGATTTGGCACATCCTGGATAGTGATCCCTCCTCTATCAAAGGGTATGGGATTTCGGAGGTTTAAACAGCTTCATTGAGGCTACACACTACTAATGACTTGGTCAGAACCTAATAACCAGGCACCTTTGAAGTGCTTCTTGGTAAGAAAGCACTTTGTACTCTCAGGGGCTCCTCTGCCACCCCTACAACTTCTACTTTTCCTTTCCTTTTCCTTTTCCCCTTCCTTTCCCTTCCCTTCCCTTCCCTTCCCTTCCCTTCCCTTCCCTTCCCTTCCCTTCCCTTCCCTTCCCTTCCCTTCCCTTCCCTTCCCTTTCCTTAATTTTTGGGCCACACATAAAGGTACTCAGGATTTAGTCCTGACTCTGCACTCAGAGATCAATGTGGTAGAGCTTGGGTGACCACGTGGGATGCTGGAGAGAGAACTCAGGTCAGTCTCGTGCAAGGCAAGCATCCTACCCACTGCACTGCCACCCCTGCCTCTTCTCTCTTAACCTCTGATATTTAGGAGTCTGTAAAGGCAGCCGCAAAATATCAGTGTAACCAAGAGGGGATAGTGAAATAAACCAAGCCTCAACTTATTCATCTCCTCATTGTTCTTGACATTTTCCATGATCTGTAATGTTTAGCACCATTTCCCATGCTGGAACATATGACTGGGGTTACTTAGTACTTGAAGGGAAAAACTCCAGCAGCTCAGACTATTTGTTTGTTTCTTTGAGCCTCCCAGGCAATGCTAAGAGTGGGACCAGGTTCCATTCCCAGTGATACTCAACCAGCGGGCTGTTAGGATCTCTGCTTGGGCAGCAGTTCTTACAGGTTCTTCAGGACTACATCTCTTATGCTGGGTTGTCTGTGATTAAACTTGGGGTTTGTGGATGCAAGGCATGTGATCCAGTCCTTTGTATTATGTCCCCAGCCCCAGCTGAGATTTTAATGAGAACACTTTCCTTCACCCAACAGAATCTCCTGGAAATGAAGACTTATATTAGCATCCTGCAGCACATCACCCAGAGCTCCCCTCAAACTTCTGGCATTACAGGTGTGATGAGGGAGGTAAGACTTGGAGCTTAGACTACAGGAAATGGATATCTGAATTTGGTGGTCTTCCACAGGTCCATTTTGCATTCCCTCTTTTATTTATGTATTGATCTTTTTATTTTTGGAATTTGGGCTACACCTGGTGAACCTCAGAAGTTACTCCTGGCTCTGCACTCAGGAATCACTCCTGACAGTTCTTTAGGGACCATATGAGAAGCTGAGAATTGAACCTGGGTCTGCTGCGTGCAAGGCAAACACCCTGCCCACTGTGCTGTTGCTCTAGTCCTGATTTTGTGTTCCCTCTTACAATTTCTTCTTCTGCTCTTTGACATGAACTATAATGCCAGTATTTAGATATGTGGAATAAATGCCAGTATATGGGGATGTGTGACCCTTTCTCAGGTGTTCCTTTCTTGAAAATGATGGGCTCTTCTTCCTTGGACAGTTTCTAGGAAATAACAGGAGCTGTCCTGTTGCAACCCTGGCAGTAGTTGATGAGCTTTTCTGTCCTTCTCATCCTTCTTATCATGGGGTATGTAGAGACTTGGGCATGGTTTTGCTTTTTGCTCTTCTGTATATGTGTCTCCCTGTGGTTTTATTTATTAATACAATTTGAACCACTTTTATTAAGGTAACTTCATGCGTGGGGCTCATCTGAGCATCTGGAGAATGGTCTTAAGTATGGCTGTGGCTGGTTCTGGAGGTCTTCAGCTGCCGGGGCTCTGCTTGGGGTTGGGAAAGGAACTCAACCCGTGCCCCTCCAGGGGGCTCTGGTGAGGATAGCCAGGCTCGGGGGCAGGAGACTCTGTGTTGTTCTTGTTCTCTTCCAGGAGCTTGGTTTTATAGTCTCTGAATCTTGGCTGTTGATGGGATTACACGGCGCCAGGGGCATTTGGTGGGTGTAATGCCTACCTACTGGAATATAGGGTATCTGGGTGGAGGAGGCCCTCCTCCTCCTCCTCCTCCTGGGGCTGGAGCGATAGCACAGCGGGTAGGGCGTTTGCCTTGCACGCGGCCAACATGGCCTACCCGAGTTCGATTCCTCCGCCCCTCTCGGAGAGCCCGGCAAGCTACCGAGAGTATTCGATATGCCAGACACAGTAACAACAAAGTCTCCAATGGAGACGTTACTGGGCCCGCTCGAGCAAATCGATGATCAACGGGAGGGCCTTTACCTTTACCTTACCTTTACCTGGGTGGAGGAGGCCCAGTCCAGACCTGAGCAGGCTTGGATGTCTCAGTCTCGGGTCCCGCACACCTGGGTTCCTCTGCCGTTTCCTTCATGCGTGAGGCTTGTCTGAGTGTCTGGAGAGTGGTCTTAAGCATGGCTGTGGCTGGTTCTGGAGGTCTTCAACTCCCGGGGTTCTGCATAGGGTGGGGAGGGAAACTCAACCCAGGTGTTATTGTCTTATTGTCTAGTTATTCTCTTATTGTCTAGTTCTTGCTCTCAGAGAACCCAGCAGGCTACTGAGAGTACCCTGCCCACATAGGAGAGTCTGGAAAACTCCCCGTGGCATATTCAATATGCCCAAACCCAGTAACAATGATGGGTCTCATTCCCCTGACCCTGAAAGTGCCTCCAATGTAGCACTTCTAAAATCTCAGGACTAGGGTGAATGGAGACGTTACTGGTGCCTGCTCGAGGAAATCAGTGAATAACAGGATGACAATGATACAGTGAGTAAGGTACCAGAATTTCTAGTACTATTAATAATACTTTCCTTCTTGGGGTGGAAGCCACACCTGGCTGTGCTCAGGGCTTTCTTCTAGATTTGTGCTCAGGGACCACTCCTGACAGGGCTCAGGAGATCATATAAGGTACAGGGATGGAAGCCAGGTTAGTCACATGCAAGGCAAGTGCCCTACCTAATGTTCTATAGCTCTGACCTTAATTAGAACTTTCATGTATACATCATTTAAACACCTGTGGTTTTATTTTGGGGATTAACTTAATCCCCTAATGACTCATGATGTTGAACATGTTTTCATTTGCTTATTTGCCATTCATGTATCTTTTTTATGAAGTATCTGCTAAAATATTTGCCTCTTAAAAAGTTTAAGAGGCAAATATTTAACTCTTATTTAGGCTATTTACCCACTGTCACTGTCACTGTCCTCCCATTATTCATCGATTTTCTCGAGCGGGCCCAGTAACATCTCCATTGTGAGACTTTTGTTGTTACTGTGTTTGGCATATCGAATACGTCATGGGTAGCTTGCCATGAGGGCGAGATACTCTCGGTAGCTTGCCAGGCTCTCCGAGAGGGGCAGAGGAAACGAACTCAGGTCGGCCATGTTGGCTGCGTGCAAGGCAAATGCCTACCCGCTGTGCTATCGCTCCAGCCGTATTTACCCACACACCCCCATAAACAAGTACAGAGAGAGTCTGAGAAAATTAGTGACTATCTTTTCAAGATCAAGCTCTGCTACTGATTATGTAAGTTTGTGATGTAAAAACTATATAGAGAGAATAGATTATTGAAGTCTGATATTTTAGAATGCATATTTGGACGTAAAACACAGAGTGGAATATTCTACATTCCTTCTTTTGCTTTTGGGTCACACCTGGCAGTGCTCAAGGGAGTATGAGGAGGACGGGGGGGCATCAATTCATTAATTGATTTTATCTCCTTTACCCTCATCAACAATTTATTGTATTGTGAAGTGAAATAGTTTTAATTAGGGAAATATGAGAATGAGAGAAAGAAAGAGATGGAGGGATGGAGAGAGATAGAAAATGACACATTCAGGAGGCAGCCATTCAAGAAGGAACATGGGCTTCTACAATGGAGTGAGAGTCTGGCAGTACCCCATAAAAGTAAAAGCAAGGAATTGCATTCCTGCGGTTAAGATGTACACGACCTCTAGAATGAGAAATGTACCTTTTAAAAATTTAAACTAAAGTGTTTATTATTTTATGAAATTTTGTTTTTTAAATTTAGTCGCCATGATTGATAAAGCTGTTGACAGTAGAGTTTTAGGCATACAATGTTCCAACTCCATCCCACCACCAGTGTCCTCATCCCTTCACCAATGACCCTAGGTTCCCTATGACCCCCCAACTTGTCTCTTTGACACATATTTTTAATTATTGTAGTTTGGGGTTAGAGGATTAGATATATACAGATATGTAACCTCTACTAACCCAAGACCCCTCACCCTTACCCATGTATTACTTGCACACTGCTTCTTGCTTCCCTATCCCATTTTTCTCCTTTCTTGGCATTTTTGTTTCTGTAATCTAGGGCCTTAATGTTTACCCACTTTCAACACCTTGTATTTACTTGTCATGTTATTCTATATACCACATTAATAAGATTAGTGAGAATAACTGGTATTTGTCCTTGTCTGGCTTCAGTTAAAATGAGCTGTTCCAATGAACAAGAACAAACAATCAGTGCTTGTGGTAATGTCAAATGGCCCAGGCTCTTTAGAAAACAATATGGACATTCATCAAAGAAAAAAAAACTAGAAACAGAGATCCCATTTGATCTAGCAATATCACTTCTTGGAATATACCCGGGTTCCAAACACACACAGCAGAAACACCATCTGCACTCCTATGTTCATTGCAGCACTATTTACCATAGCCAGAATCTGGAAACCCTGAGTGCCTGGAAACAGATGTATGGATAAAGAAACTATGGTACATCTACACAATAGAATACTACACAGCTTTTAGGAAAAATGAGGTCATAAAATTTGCCAATAAACAGATGGACCTGGAGAGTATCATGCTGAGTGAATAAGTCAGAAGTAGAGGGACAGATATAGAATGACTGCATTTATTTGTAGGATATAAAAAATGTATGAAACTAATATCCAAGGCCAGGGAAAACAGGCCAGGAGGACTGGTTAATGACTGGTCAATGGTGTGGGAGATGGAGGGTAGTTAAGATAGAGAAGGGTCCATTATGATAATACTAGTTGGAAAGGATCACTCTGGACAAGAACTGAGTGTTGAAAGCAGGTATAGGAATATATATGACAACCTTTCAGCATCTGTATTACAAACATAATGGAGAAAGAGAGAGAGAGAGAAAGAGAGAGGAGAGAGAGAGAGAGAAGAGAGGTATCTGTCATAGAGGCAGGCTGTGGTGGTGGGGGAGTTGTTTGAAGGGGTGGAAGGGAAACTGGGGACACTGGTACTGGGAAATTACACTGGTGGAGGGATGGGTGTTGGAACATTATTTGACTGAAACGGAATCATGAATAATTTTGTAATGCACTATCTCATGGTGATTCAATAAAAAAATGATCTCTTCCAGTTCTATCCATGTTGCAATGAATTGCATATTTCATCATACCTTGTGGCTATATAGTATTCCATTGTTTATATATACCATAACTTCATTATCCATTCACCCATTTTTAGATACCTGGGTTGTTTTCATATTCTGGCTGTTGTACTGAGAATTGCAATGAACATAGGTGTGCACATATCTTTTCAAATGAATGTTTTTGTTCCTTGGGTATTGATTTCAAAAAGTGGAATTGGATTCGAAGTGGAATCTCCATCCTGTTTCTAATAAGGGCTCAACCAGGCAATACTTCCGTCAGCAATGTATGGAAGCTCCTTTTTCCTTGCACCCCTACAACAATGATTGGTTTTATATTCCTCAATACATGCCATTCTCTCTCTAGTGTGATTTCTCATTTCTCTTAGAATTTCATGGATAATAACGTGACAGTGAACATGTTTTCATTAATCTGTCTTCTTCGTAGAAGTGTCTCTTTATTTCCTCTTCCACATTTTTTTTTCTTTTTGGGTCACACCTGGCGATGCACAGGGGTTACCCCTGGCACTCAGGAATTACTCCTGGAGGTGCTCAGAGGACCATATGGGATGCTGGGAATCTAACCTGGGTCGGCCGCATGCAAGGCAAACGCCCTACCCATTGTGCTATCGTTCCAGCCCCCCTCTTCCACTTTTTTATGGAGCTGTTGGATTGATTGTTGTTGATCTTTGTGAGTGCTTTACATCTTGGATATCAGTCCTTTGTCAGCTGAATTGT